TTTCCGCAGCCACTGGACACCTTTTTGCAGCAGGAATCCGGGAGGTTTCCCTGTCCTCCTTTATTGAATGCGGTTGAGTTCCAGTCCTTGTACGAATTAATTCCACAACACTTCAACTATACATATTAAAAGTAATATTTTATTAAACGTAAGAAGTTATTCTTTAGCAGCATGATGCRTATCACTATCTAAGAATTGTATCATATTGAAACCTTGGCTGCTGTTTGTAAGATCACTGGAAAAAATCGCGCGCTTTAAAGGTTGCAAATTTGATGTTAATATGATATAAGTGTCCAAAATTCTGTAAATTTAATGGAAAACATTTACATCAAATTTACAACCTTTAAAAGCGCGCAATTTTTTCCAGTGGATCTTAGGAACCTCACGATGCTGCGGACAGCGAAAACTTAGAATTGCATATTAATATCTCACAAATACAGACGATAATTTGGCCGCTATTTTGGAAAATATTCTTCTAATTCATCTGGCGTTTCTCGAAAGATGTCCCTTCCCGATTTATATATTTCATATATCACTGCAGTCTGTCTCACTTGCGTACAAATGTATCTAGGAATTGTGAAATAAAGTATCGATTTTTGTGGACGCATAATGGGGTAAGTCAGGTATAAGCCGAATTTATCAAGCAAAGAATACGACAGAGAGATACATACTTGAAAAATTTCGTCTTTTCTAACTCGTACAATTTACTTCTGTGCTTATGCAAATGAGCTACACGACGCTTACCTTTTCTTGGGCGTCGTCAACATCATTAGTTTTGTTCGATGCTCTGTAGCCATCAATTTTCTTCTTCAATGCTTTATTCAACTCATTTTTGAACTGTAATCGCAAAAGTAATTTATTTAGCGTTAATATTAATTTATGTTAGTTTTGCCTGGAATAAAGTCATCWGGGATGAAAAGCAACGATCATACTGAACACGAGTRCTTGATYCATATCTAATAAGGCGACGYTTAAGCTCGGTTGATATTCGGATTGARGAGAAGTTAGAAAGTAGGYAACAGGGAGTCCGGATCGTTTGCTYACCTCATCTTTGTGYTTGTAAGCCAATGCAGCGGCTGCAATCTCCAGTATTAGCAGAACAGCTAACAAAATGACGAACTATAAAAACAATGATATTACAAGGATCAGTATAATAAAATGTCAAAGTGATTTTCATCGAAACTCGTTAGCTCTGTTGGTAAGCACCGAGGTAGTGTATCGTGCAGGATGATGTAAAGTGTTCCGCTCCAGGTTGGACCACTACTAGGTAAAGTGTTGCTGTCAGTTGCTCCGCTTAAAGATGGTTATATCATTGCCTCTTCTCAAATGAGGAAGTAAACCAGAGATCGGTCCTATACCTATCTACATACTGCATTACATTGTGACTTAAAAAAAAAACCTTTCCGTGACCACTATCAGTGACTAACTTACTCTTCTGTGTATCATCAGTCTAGGTATATATAGCAATATATTCGAAGACGCAAAATGTGCAGTTTTAGCACATGCCAAGAATCTCAACATGTCGCTCTACTAACATCAAACAAATATTGGACTAATGGGTTGATATCACAAAAGTTACTTTTTCTGGCATTTAAAAAATTGCATTATGCTTCTGTAATATAAAACTCAACGTTCAGAATKCTGTGAAATACTTACAGTACACAGCATACATTTATTTTCTTTCCAAGCTCCACAACATCCAAGGAATGATATCACAATGACAAAAACTGCAATAGCTATCAAAAGTCTTGGACCACTTGTCACTTCATACTCTTTAACAAAGTCTATTTTTCCATATTCGTTGTTAGTGGCCTCTCCCCAAATGCCGATACCAAGAAGAATGATACCAAATACCTTGATAGGTAAAACAAATAAGACAGTATAAATAGGTTAGTTTGTCAGACTATTTAAATAGATAATCTCTAATAGGGAGCGTCGCCATTTTGTACGGCAAAGCATGATGGTATAGTTGTAGTTCTGGTACTATTCCATGTCCCCTATATGAAACAGTCCTTCTGTAATGTTTTTGATTTTTTCTAAGAAAAAATCATAAATGTTGTTTGGAGCTTTCTACAAAGAAAGCTTAAAAATGGCTTTTGAGGAGTTTTTTTCAGTGTCTATAATAAGTACGAGGACTATTCAACTACCATCATGCTTTGCTGCAAAAAGTCGCGTCGCTGCACAGTGCATAATGTTTTGGAATCACAAGGCTGCCGAGCCAGAAATTTGATCAAGATGTTGGCCGACCAGACAAATTGCCAGGTAACCAACAAACAGAATGAGCAGTCTTTCCAGCAATTAAGCTAGGTATAATAACATCTTCCAATAAATCAACAATTCTTATTTGAATGCAAACAGCTGTTCAATTCATTCTTCAATAAAACCAATGGCTAGCTTACCACGAAAAGAAAGTTGAAGAAGAGGACCAGATACCTCAAAGGTTTCGAAACTGCCATGTCTTTAAATAATAGAAAACGCAACATATTAATAAATGAAGTAAACATAGTAATTATAAAAGATTCCTTTGAATACAACCGTGAAACATAACACCTTTAGGGTAAAATCTTATAAATCTATTSTTTGTAAATCATCAATAAGATATAATAGCATCATTTACTTTTTATACTTTCATGTATTTGTCATATCTCTAGTAACTATTTTATGACTAATGGCTAGTCCCATCTCATCGTGTGGGGAACAATAGAGATACTTGTTTTGTCATAAATCAAACAAGGCCCAGTAATGATCACCAGTGTATGACACCCACTGAGGCACTTGCATGGTCTGATTCCTTGTTGAAGGCTTTCATGCATTATAACATTTGATTGAGTTTTTAATTGGCGTCCTTTTTAACGCGTCGTCTACTTTTCGAAACCGATAGCTCTAAATCGCTTTAAATTGCTTTAAATCCGTTTAATATAGCCTAGATGATCCAGGTTATCCATTCATGCATTTTATTTTAATAGTCTATTGGATTCATTGTTGAAATGCTCATAAAAATGATGCAATGTTTATCTTCTTCATAACCAAAAACAATATTTGATAATGATATTAGATCAAAGGCTTTAATGGACTACGCACTAGTATATTATGGACAATTTTAAGAAATATTAATTCAAAAAAATATTTGACAGTTACTGAATAAATCCAGTAGTACCATAAACATCTTATTTGATCGAATACGCAAGTATATGCGAGGCAAATTGATCTGTGTCACAGGTGTCAGGAATCATTTTGCTATATCATTTATGTTGAGATATTGCTAGATAATGTAGTACAAACTTTTATGAACAGAAATAAAGCCTTAAAAAGGTTTAGAATTGAAATTATTGATTGACAGGAATGATAGAAAAATGCATAACATGCATACATTTTTTTAAATCAAGCGTGGCTTAATATGAGTATATATGCCAAGCCCTTCGCAGCAAAGTCTTAATAGCTCTATCCTGGAACTCGTGTGTCAAGAGCTTTSCGATCAATAAATATTTATAGCATCGATCGAAGAACTTTCGTTTTTCGACTCGTCGCTTTCTAAATAGAAACTGCTACAAAATTTATGAAGACGTTCAATGACATTTTGAAGTTTTGTCCAAATAGAATTGCGTGTCTTTGTTCCCTTAATATTCTRCATGCTCCAAGAAAAGAACAAGCGTTTGATTGATCAAATACAAATTTGCACATACGTCTATAAATATAATTCAAATTAGAATTATTGAGGTTGTTTTTAACATAAAGGCAACGAGGCAGAAACTTCGATTGATCTAAATGCTATAATATTAAGTACAGAATACTAGGATTATTGAGACGTACTGTCAAGTTTGTTTTTATTTATAAAGAGTAAAGTAGTATATCTTGATATAATTAAAATCTATAGCATAAATTATAAGCCTGGTGTATTCACGCGTGCTAACAGCTAACAGCAAACTGAATTCCTTAATCAGAATGTTGAATTTTGTTTATACGTTGAGGTACATTCAACGTTTATATCATTCCATTGTTTAAAATGCACAAAATTCATTCTAAGACTTGTTGTTATCTAATMAGACTCGCTGGTAGTACATTGTATTCTTCACAAAAGATGAAAAGCTTCTCATCTCTCTTAGTTGTTAAAACATATTACAAAACAATATCATTTACACTTAACATTTCATTAAATAAAGGTAACTGACAATTTTCGAATTATTCATTTCTCTTACCTCTTCTGACACCAAAGACAACTTCTAATAAACTTTAATAAAATCTTTGATTCAAAGACTATAAACAATTCTCTTAATCTACACAGCCACTCCTTGGACGCTCTTAGAGGGGAATGGCACTAGGAGCACATTGGATGATCATCAATCGGCACTAAAAGCTAAAAATGTTAGTAACATCAGTTTCCATGCATAAATAATCTGTTAAGTGTTTATGTCGTTATGCTCTGTCAAGCACTCTGCCAAATTATCAGACCATAATTCCATTATAGTTCAATTCGRCAAAAGGAAAACTCCGATAATAAAAATGTGCCCTTCTTTCAAACGATAATTAACCACTATACTAAAAGTCTCATTTGTCAACGTTACCCTACTATTTTGGCGGAATTCGCGTGGCTCATTTTTGATGAAGGGAACGACGTTACATGGAAGCTCCAAACTTATTCATAGAARAAAAGAGAGAGCCAGCAACAGAGATTAGTGTTATTTGGATTGCTTGCTTCTGCAGACTGACCTTTTGTTGTGTATTTCTTAATAAACCGAACCAACGCATTGGAAAAGCTAATATCGTACTTTATTATATACCTCGGATGTAACACACGATTTCATTGGCTAAAAAGCGGGGCATACTTTCCCGTACGGACCAGATGAAACGAGAAAAAACGTTTTTTATCTTANAAATTATTAGAATAGTCATGACAAGGGTGTCAACTCTTATTTGTTTGTTTTAAGGCCAATTATTATTTTTTCCTTTCTTTTTTCTTTGGTTTCTTTATTAGTACTATGTATTTATTACAAATAAATAAAAATTATGAAAAAAAAAGGCTATTAAATTGAACATCATTTATCACCCATTGGCTATAAATCCGTGACAGTGTAATTGCGTTACTATATTAAACATAATTTATTGCCCATTGGTTAAATCCATGCTACGTAACAGTGGAATTACGTTACTAAGATATTCAACATCATTTATCGCCMATTGGCTAAATTTATGTTACGTACAGTGTAATTACTATATTCAACATCGATTATCGCCCATTGTTCAAGTTACGTAACATATCATTAACATTCTTCATATTATTCGTAAAGTAACAACACACGGACAAGGAAGAAAAAAGAAGATAGACTGAGCAATGCCTTTTTGGACTRCATTTAAAAATCGATTTTTGCGAAGTAAAACTTTTTCAACACATGGTTTATCAAGTAAAGGAAAAAGGAAAATTACAAGAAAAGGGATGCAAAAGACGCATGAGACAGAATTTCGTCGCTCCTCCGTGGGGAGAATTGATTTCCTAAACCAAGGAAATAAAGGCACATTAAATATTATGTCAATTCAAGACTGTCAGACCTACCCTACAGCTGCTTTGTCAAAAAAGATTGTCTACGAAGGCGAAGACGAGACACCRTTTGTTATGATGGAGTTTGAAAAGCCTGTGCGACACTACGATGAAAGTTTTTTCACAAGAGAGGGACACAAGAAATGGATACAAGCAAGGAGAGATCTCCATATATTCTGAACAACTGTGAACGTTTCTTTTTCTGTATAAAAATACGAGCTTTTATGGCAAGGAAAAGGCATTTCAGTAAGTCAGTTTATATTAACCTCGTTATTGACAAGATTTATTAATATTTATAAATTTTTGATTTGTTTTTTAGACAAGGAGTATAAATATTTCATGCTATATGTTAAACTGTTTTCGTTTTTAAAATCACCTCTTTCGACACACTACACCAAGACTTTGAATGAAACATGTTTCGTCTATTAGACCTTTTCAATCATTGTTACGTTATTACATATAGCATGAAATTTACAAACTCTTTAGTGATCAGATTTAAAAAGATTTCTAGAGTATAAATATGTTATCGCTAAATGTTATAAAACAAAACATAATTCATAATTTGTCACTGTTTGACAATTGTAGCCGTTAATAAAAAGTTAAACACCAAAATTCGATCCTCGTCGTGAACATTTTTTCTTTCTTTTTAAATGTATTATAGTTGTTATAGTCATCGTCATTTTCTGTAGATTTTGTTTAATAATTATTTTCTAGCCATTCTTTTGATTTTACACAGAATATTATACTACGTTTACAACACGTTAACCATTCGTCGGAATAGACTGAAAAACGTCATATTATAATAACATTCAAATTTCGTGCCATGATTTTATTCGGAAGCAATCGGAACTCTGGAAACTTAATGACTTCCCAAAAAAATAAACTTTGATTTTCCGCCATTAACATTATCAAGCGTAGTGAGAGTRAACTTATTCGTATTTGGCGGAAAAAGATGTTTCTAATTGAACAATATTTAATTTTTATGCTTTAATGCCGCTTTACTTATTACCAGTTCATGGACGTCGTTTAATCTATACTTTTTTACGAACTATYTAAATAATCAGCATACAGTGATCGTTTATATTTTTTTTCGTTTTGTAACAGTTACTATAGAAGTCATGATTTGATTTCYGATGATTTGGACCACTCCTGTACGTACACGTTCTGCCAAAAGCGAACCAATCAAAMGTGTAGTTTCTTCACGTCATTGCTTACGTTTCACGAGTTTTGATTGGTTAGTTAACTAACCGATCAAAACTCGTTAAACGTAGCTAACCAATCAAAACTCCGAAACGTAGGCAATGACGCGAACGTGTTTTTTAACTCGGAGATTGCGTTAGCAATCGAAAAGTTATTRTAGGGGAACGATCTGAAACGCACTCAGTCACCCACTCACTTTCCTGTAAACTTACCCTGGTTCCAGAGGTTTGATATTTTCTCTCTTCGCTATTGTTTTTGTCGGCGCGAAGCGCCGTAATCGAGGCCGTAGGGCCGAGCGAAAATGAAACCTCTGGTAGGAGTCGGTTGGATGATTGATCTGGCCGCACCAATAAGATTACAGATTTCGTAAATTTGTTCCGTCTCACTGATTGGCCAATTTTTAATCTCTCTTATGATTGGTCGATTAGCTTTGTTACATGGGTGGGGAGAAAGAGATTTTGTTGCTATTTGTCATGTCCCAAGGGATATAGAGATATAAACAGATTCCCGACTTGATGTATTGCTCTTTTACGATGAATTCTTTAGTATCATAGGCCGTTTTTGACCAGACTACATCAATAGCTCTCGAATACCGATTTGACAATGTGGAGGCATTATCGAAGGACCAGAAAGTAGCATTGTTGAGCTTGATCAACAGGAAAGATGTGTTCGCCATTTTACCGACTAAACATGGAAAGTCCTATTAAAATATTCCGCATAGCTATATTCACRATCAGATAGTTGTCGAATTATTTATGCATCGGTTTCGACCTTTATCGGTCTTTTCTCTTCACATCTGATACAAACGGACCTGGTAGAAAGGTCAAATTGCAGTTGTAAAAATACCGCCATAGGTGACAACTTGGCGGATTAGTTTGAGTTAATTTAAGAAGAAGTAGTGTTTTGCGTTTTCTTTATTTAAGTCCAGTCCAGGGAGTAGACTATGAGATACAAAATAGTTTCAAGAGCCAAATGTCGAAGAATCRCAAAAAGCAAGGAAAAGTTAGATTTTTCACCTAAGTTATAATGCAAGTATCGAGAATCGGCACTACATCGAATATTTCGTCGCGTAGATTTTCAGTGGAAGCGTTTTAGATTTTCGTTACGCGATTTTGGCCCAAACAGATGTATTCTTTGTCTTCTAGATGCAATGCTATTAGGACAATGCCGCCATATTTTTGAAGGATGTGTGCGAGCACTTTTTACCGGGGTATTTTTGAGATCACTTATATTTAAAGTTCTCAGCGTGGTACTGTTATTTGATTGGTTTCTTTTTAATTGAATTCGTTTAGCATGGAAGTGAGATTCCAACCGACTCCTACCTGAGGTTTGATTTTCGCTCGGCCTTACTGCCTCGATTACGGCGCTTCGCGTCGACAAAAACAATAGCGAAGAGAGAAAATATCAAACCTCTGGGACCAGGGTACTGTAAACTGCGTTGTTAACATAGTAATTAACCTGCTATCTTTTGATTTAGTATCAATACCAGCACGGTCTTTCTGTTTATCTTTTTTTTTTCGAAGGGAAAAAAATCACGTCCGCGGTTGGGCTCGAACTCTGGATCTCTCGAGACAACGGAAGAAACATTATCACTAGACCATGCGCACATTAGCTATTATGCTATGACTATTCTACTAGCTTTTATGCGACACCAGATCAAACAAATAGTTTCCTGTGTCATAATCGATAAAATTGCTTCTACAAGGGGCAAAATGTGTTTAAAGTGAGGCTGTCCCGACACTACGCATGCACGCGATCAATAATTTTACGGGACGTAAAGACGGCTAAAGACGAGAGAGTAGATTGAAAGTTGAATCCGTTACAATCTTGGATCTACGGCGGGCATCTTTTTCACCTTTTTGCATTTTCAAATCAATTAAGTATTTTTTATGCTAGGGGAATCATTTTTTTCGTGTAGACGTTATATTTTTGAAATAATTCAGTAAATGGTTTTCAGTCGCTTCTTAACAGCAATAGCTGGCCCCCAAAGAATTCAGTTCACAAGATAAAAATTTACCACTCTCTCAAGGGTACTCGCAGATTCTCCATCAGCAAGCCAATGATAAATGTGCCGGAATTTGGTGGATTTGCCAAAAAAACTTTGGCATTTGAGGCCTTGACTCGACTACTTTAGCGCCAAAGCTAAATAGACGTTTCTTATTGGTTCTTTTGAATTACAAACGGCAGTTACTGGAACATGCTCGTATCGTGACAGACTGACTTTAAAATCATATTCTTTGGCTAAAATTGTACAAAATGAAACGGTTTCCGCTTTGAGTGTGTTTCGACAGTTAGAAGATTCAGTGAAAACGTAAGCTTACATGAAGCTTCTGGAGTATCTCCTTATAAAAGCAGTTCTCACAATCTCAGAGCTATGCACAGGTAGCCCAAGCACTGGACTTGGCAGTGAAAAACGAAAAGTTCAATAAAAGTGGTAAAACTGAATAAAATTATTTCAAACTACAACATAGTGTTCTTCTTATTTTTCTCAACACCTCTGAGAAGTTTCAGCTCATTATGGTAAACTCTCCCCTACTTATATATATTATGACAAGGTTGGAGACAAACYGACGAAAAACACAATCGACACGGCTTCAAATTCAAGCATTTATTTGCCAAAAAAAAAACACTTTCCATTCAAATTGACTGCCATCACACATCAGGTTATGCATAAGTACATCTTAATTTTGATGTCTTAGAGGCCAAAATTAAGATGCATTTATGCATAAGCTGAAGCTCATGCTGAGCTGAAACTTCTCAGGGATGTTGAGAAAAATAAGAAGAACACTATGTTGTAGTTTGAAATAATTTTATTCAGTTTTACCACTTTTATTGAACTTTTCGTTTTTCACTACCAAGTCCAGTGCTTAGGCTACCTGTGAGTTATGTCGTTATTGGCAGCTTGGTTGATATTAATTATTCAAATGCTTGATGATGGTGTTTCGATGCAATCTATCGCACAATATAATCTAAAATGGCATTATCTCGAAGCATTTCGGATTTTGCGAAGCTTTATTTACATCGATCGTATAGATGACGTGCTTTGTTCATCTGTACTCA